TTTTGTGATTATTTTTTATATATTTAAATGTTTTATCCTCTAATGACATTTTGACTTGTAAATAAATTGCTTGTCCTTAATAAACATTATTACAATAACTATATATTATTTATATTCTAATGATTATTATTGTGATGTGTTTCTGTCTCGCCTGTACTCACAGCTGATATGTATTGATCGAAGAAGCGCTCCAGCATTGATTCCTCCATGAGCTCCAGAGTAAGTTATAAAGTGATATACGATCAGCTGACTCTCAACAATATCTTCATTCATAATAATATGTTGTTTACTTTCAAACAGACAGGGTTGCTCGAGGTAAACAACAAGGACATGATGTTGTTTATTTTCAAAAATAATGACTTTTGTGTAAAAAATGTTATTTAAAACTATTTTTATATTTTCTTTTAATGTCTTTAGATATTTATTTTAAAAAGTAATCTTTGATCCATTGAATAGGAAGCAATTGGGAAAATAATTTTAACAATGTTTTAAAGAGAACAATACAGCTGAATTAATATTCTAAAAAATAGACTCTTTTAATTAAATAAAGACATGTACGACAACAAATGTAATAAAAAAATGCTTCTAATTGTACATTATTTATATTATGTGTGTGTTTCAGGTGTGTGTCTCATGTGTGTGTGTCAGGTGTGTGTTGTGTGTTTCAGGTACTGTACTGTATGTGTGAGGTGTGTGTCTCAGGTGTATGTCTCATGTGTGTGTGTCAGGTGTGTGTCAGGTTTGTGTGTGTGTGTGTGTGTGTGTGTGTGTGTGTTTTAAAAATGCTTATAATTGTAAATTACTTTTCTTATTTTTTTGTATCCACATTTAATTATTTACTTATTAATAATGTTTTCTTTATTCTCTTTTTATTTACAAATGTTGTTAAAATATATTCCAGCTATCTGCTTTAGCGCCCCCTGCTGGTGGCGAAACTCACAGCATGCAGTCCTTCATTCAGATATATTATATATACTAGTATATCTATTTTTTCTTTTATAAACATGTTTTCTATTCATGCAACATTTCATTTACTAATTTGAAATATATCTTATTATACTTTTCTCATATATTGATGTTTCTTTAGCGGGTTTTTTATGGTATTTATTCATAATTTAAAGTGTTTTTTTAGCTGATTCACAAACTGTTTTAAAGTTCAATTTTTTGTTTTAGAAGGAGGGGACCATCAAATATGGGTTAATACAATCAATCAAGTGTGTGTGTGTGTGTGTGTGTGTGTGTGTTATTCTTGCTGCAGATGTTTATCCAGTGGAAACACAAACAGCCTCTTCCTGTCTCCTCATCTCCCTCTGACATCAGGACACTTTTATTTATCGCACAAACAGAAACAAGAAACCCCCAAAACTACAAGAAGTATTTTCTTCTTATTCCTTTTCCACTCTGCATTTCCTTTCCTCCTCTCAGTATTCATAGTGGTAGTAGGAAAGTATTTCCCCGGTACAGAGAGTGTGTGTTGGTACAGTATTGAGGGTGCAGAGTGCAGTGGTGTAAAGTAACTAAGTACATTTACTCAAATACTGTACTGTACTTGTATGAGTGCTTCTTTGTAGAAAATACTTCTTAATACTTCTACTTTTACTCAGGTACAATATATGAGTACTTCTACTTTTACTCAAGTACAAGATCTGAGTACTTCTACTTTTACTACAAGTACAAGATCTGAGTACTTCTACTTTTACTCAAGTACAAGACCTGAGTACTTCTACTTTTACTCAAGTCCAAGATCTGAGTACTTCTACTTTTACTCAAGCACAAGATCTGAGTACTTCTACTTTTACTCAAGTAAGATCTGAGTACTTCTACTTTTACTCAAGCACACGATCTGAGTACTTCTACTTTTACTCAAGCACAAGATCTGAGTACTTCTACTTTTACTCAAGCACAAGATCTGAGTACTTCTACTTTTACTCAAGCACAAGATCTGAGTACTTCTACTTTTACTACAAGATCTGAGTACTTCTACTTTTACTCAAGTAAGATCTGAGTACTTCTACTTTTACTCAAGCACAAGATCTGAGTACTTCTACTTTTAATACAAGTACAAGATCTGAGTACTTCTACTTTTACTCAAGTAAGATCTGAGTACTTCTACTTTTGATCCTCTGGCAGAGTGTGTGTCAGTACAGTATTGAGCCTCTCCCAGATGTGTGTGTTTGTGTGTGTGTGTGTGTGTGTGTGTGTGTGTGTGTGTGTGTGTGTGTGTGTGTGTGTGTGTGTGTGTGTGTGTGTGTGTGTGTGTGTGTGTGTGTGTGGGCGGCTCTGCTTGCGGTGTGTCAGTGAAATGTGACTCCCTCTCTTCTCTCTCAGTATTTCGGGATGTTTTACACGTTAGCGGGCGAGCAGATGTTCCTGGAAGAGAAGAGGAAGAAGAGAGGAGATTTCTGCAGAAGAAGAAGGACTCTGAGAAGGTAAACAGTTAAACTCCTCTCAAACAGCTGATAGCGGGAGTTAGAGAAAGGTTTAGAGGTTAGAGACAGTTTACAGGGTTTTATTTTCGCTGACATGACGTTTTCTTGAGTTTCTGCGGGTTTTCACTGGTTTTCTCCCACCGGATGTTCCCATTTTTAATGACAGACTAACAATAACATTAGCCACGTGGTAACCTCCTCCGTCACAACTGAGAAGCATTAGGTGATTTAAGTTAAGCTAGTTAGCATTACTGCCTTTTAAATAACCAATACATACTGTTAATGTGACTTATTATCATACCACTCACAGTGTACAGCCTTTCTGCTGGAGATACAGTATAACCAGTATAACCATGGCAACAGCACTAATTAGTTACCAGCTAATGATAAAACCAATGCTAGAAAGCTAAAAACAAACTAGCACTTATTATTATGAGCAAGCTAACACACTACTACTATGTTACCAGCTAGCTAACAACTAACTAGCTAGTTAACCAATTTATTAACATATTGATGTAATTCTATTGATCTTTTAGCACTGTCATCTTGAGACAAACGTGTTTTGTGATATTAGGCTTTATGAATAAACCTTGATAGGATTTGATTAATGTTGAGGCCAAATACATGCTAACTAACAAGCTAATAAGTAGGGTAATCTACCAGCCAGTTAATTATTTAACAAGGTAATGAAATTAGCTTTAATCCCAAATACTAACAAGCTTTTTCACAAGATAACTAGCTATCCAGATAAGCTAATGTTGCTAGCTTATCAATGAGCTAATGTTACTAGCTTATCAACTTAATAACAAGTTAACTAACTAACTAGTTAATTGTAGATCTACAAGCTGATAACTAGCTTGCCGGGAACAAATGAACAAGTTGTTGTACAAGCTAGCTAGCTAACACAATGCTGAAAACAAACAAAGATATTGTTATAAATAAGCATGCTAACCAACTACTAAATATTACTGTTATTAGCTGATTTTACTAGCTTGCCAGAAACAAACTAGTAAGCTAATGCTACCTCCTAGATAACCAGCTAACAAACAAGATGATATTACTATTACTGTGTCATGCTACCTAATTAACTAAAAAGCTAACTCCAGCTACTGACTCATTATTGTACAACACAGATACCAGCCAGGTAACCCACTGGTTATAATTACCTAAAACTTAGAACACTATAAACAAGGTGATTTTAATGTGTTCAGAACTGGAATATGATTTAAATGACATTATGTGCCGCATTCCTTCAGTTTTCTTTCAACCTGTAGCTGTTAGCTTTGTGAAACACCTGTACTGTGTTACTGACCGTCAGCTGTTCCTCTCTCTGATCCAGATATGGCAAAAGTACACATCCTTTACTCAAGTAGAAGTACAGATACTCCTGTTTAAAAATACTCTGGTAAATGTCTTTACTCAAGTCAAAGTAAAGAGGGCTTTGAAATGTACTTCAGTAAAAAGTACCCATAACTAGCAGCTGCTTTAAAGAGTACCTGACCTCCCTTTATATTAATAGAACAATAATGTCATTGTTAGCTAATGAATGTTTCCATGCTGAACAACGGCAACATGACAACGTTTTCATTGGTCCCTCTTCTTTAGAGAAGACCAGGAAATGATGGATACACGGATCGTGTTCAAATCAATAGGCACGCAATGACTCTAAATAATAATGATCACGCCACCAAACACACATTCAAACTAAAGGAACCAGCCTGTTTGGAAATGAGAGAAGTAGAAAGTACAGGTATTTGAGTTCAACATGTGAGAAGTAGAAAGTACAGGTATTTGTGTTCAACATGTAAGAAGTAGAAAGTACAGGTATTTGTGTTCAACATGTAAGAAGTAGAAAGTACAGGTATTTGTGTTCAACATGTAAGAAGTAGAAAGTACAGGTATTTGGGTTCAACATGTAAGAAGTAGAAAGTACAGGTATTTGGGTTCAACATGTAAGAAGTAGAAAGTACAGGTATTGTGTTCAACATGTAAGAAGTAGAAAGTACAGGTATTTGTGTTCAACATGTAAGAAGTAGAAAGTACAGGTATTTGTGTTCAACATGTAAGAAGTAGAAAGTACAGGTATTTGGGTTCAACATGTAAGAAGTAGAAAGTACAGGTATTTGGGTTCAACATGTAAGAAGTAGAAAGTACAGGTATTTGTGTTCAACATGTAAGAAGTAGAAAGTACAGGTATTTGGGTTCAACATGTAAGAAGTAGAAAGTACAGGTATTGGGTTCAACATGTAAGAAGTAGAAAGTACAGGTATTTGTGTTCAACATGTAAGAAGTAGAAAGTACAGGTATTTGGGTTCAACATGTAAGAAGTAGAAAGTACAGGTATTTGGGTTCAACATGTAAGAAGTAGAAAGTACAGGTATTTGTGTTCAACATGTAAGAAGTAGAAAGTACAGGTATTTGGGTTCAACATGTAAGAAGTAGAAAGTACAGGTATTTGGGTTCAACATGTAAGAAGTAGAAAGTACAGGTATTTGTGTTCAACATGTAAGAAGTAGAAAGTACAGGTATTTGAGTTCAACATGTAAGAAGTAGAAAGTACAGGTATTAGTGTTCAACATGTAAGAAGTAGAAAGTACAGGTATTAGTGTTCAACATGTGAGAAGTAGAAAGTACAGGTATTTGGGTTCAACATGTAAGAAGTAGAAAGTTCAGGTATTTGTGTTCAACATGTAAGAAGTAGAAAGTACAGGTATTTGGGTTCAACATGTAAGAAGTAGAAAGTACAGGTATTTGGGTTCAACATGTAAGAAGTAGAAAGTACAGGTATTTGTGTTCAACATGTAAGAAGTAGAAAGTACAGGTATTTGTGTTCAACATGTAAGAAGTAGAAAGTACAGGTATTTGGGTTCAACATGTAAGAAGTAGAAAGTACAGGTATTTGTGTTCAACATGTAAGAAGTAGAAAGTACAGGTATTTGTGTTCAACATGTAAGAAGTAGAAAGTACAGGTATTTGTGTTCAACATGTAAGAAGTAGAAAGTTACAGGTATTTGGGTTCAACATGTAAGAAGTAGAAAGTACAGGTATTTGTGTTCAACATGTAAGAAGTAGAAAGTACAGGTATTTGGGTTCAACATGTAAGAAGTAGAAAGTACAGGTATTTGGGTTCAACATGTAAGAAGTAGAAAGTACAGGTATTTGGGTTCAACATGTAAGAAGTAGAAAGTACAGGTATTTGTGTTCAACATGTAAGAAGTAGAAAGTACAGGTATTTGTGTTCAACATGTAAGAAGTAGAAAGTACAGGTATTTGTGTTCAACATGTAAGAAGTAGAAAGTACAGGTATTTGGGTTCAAAATGTAAGAAGTCAAAGTAAAAAGTGGTCAGAGAAATAAGTAGTGGAGTAAAGTACTGATACCAGAAACATGTACTTAAGTACAGTAACAAAGTATTTGTCCTCCAATACCTCCCCCCTCTCTCTGATCCAGATATGGCTGAAGATGTCTCTGGACTCTGATAACTCCTGTGTTCTGTTGTCATCGCGAGGCTCCAGGACTTCGTGTGTCTTCCAGAACGAAGACGAGAAAGATGACATCCAAGGAGTGGGAGAGGAGAGGTAAACAGTCACCTTTACATCCATATTTATGATGTGAACATTCATAAACACACCTCCGCCCCTCACAGACTGCAACCACTACTATTTAGAAACATTCATGGCTATTTGACCTCCATCCTTTGGTTACTATAACCCTCTATGAACACACAGTTAGAAATACACTACAGACAACGTGTTTAGACTGTATGTGTAAATATGCACATTGCCTCTACGACCTCTGCCTCTACGACCTCTGCCTCTACGACATCTGCCTCTACGACATCTGCCTCTACGACCTCTGCCTCTACGACCTCTGCCTCTACGACCTCTGCCTCTACGACCTCTGCCTCTACGACATCTGCCTCTACGACCTCTGCCTCTACGGCCTCTGCCTCTACGACCTCTGCCTCTACGGCCTCTGCCTCTACGACCTCTGCCTCTACGACCTCTACGACCTCTGCCTCTACGACCTCTGCCTCTACGACCTCTACGACCTCTGCCTCTACGACCTCTGCCTCTACGACCTCTGCCTCTACGACCTCTGCCTCTACGACCTCTGCCTCTACGACCTCTGCCTCTACGACCTCTGCCTCTACGACCTCTGCCTCTACCACTCTTATTTATCTGTCGTTGTACTTTGTATGATGAGAATACAATGATAATGAATGACCTCCACACACACACCTGATAATGAATGACCTCTACACACACACCTGATAATGAATGACCTCCACACACACACCTGATAATGAGTGACCTCCACACACACACCTGATAATGAATGACCTCCACACACACACCTGATAATGAATGACCTCCACACACACACACCTGATAATGAATGACCTCCACACACACCTGATAATGAATGACCTCCACACACACACCTGATGATGAATGACCTCCACACACACACACCTGATGATGAGTGACCTCCACACACACACACCTGATGATGAGTGACCTCCACACACACCTGATAATGAATGACCTCCACACACACACCTGATGATGAATGACCTCCACACACACACACCTGATGATGAGTGACCTCCACACACACACCTGATAATGAATGACCTCCACACACACACCTGATAATGAATGACCTCCACACACACACACCTGATGATGAATGACCTCCACACACACACCTGATAATGAATGACCTCCACACACACACCTGATAATGAATGACCTCCACACACACACCTGATGCATCCTCTGCTTCAAAGATGACGTGTAGTGTTCTGTGTTTCTGCTCTTCAGCGTCCTGGAGATGCTGAGCTGCTCTAAGTTCTCCGACCTGGAGACGTGGCTCTGCATGCCGTCCTCTCTGCTGCTGCCTCGAAACCTGGACTCCACCTGCTCCTCCTCGTCATCCTCACACAACTCCTCTTCATCACATGCATCCCAGCCCGCCTCCTCCTCCTCCTCCTCCTCTTCCTCCCCCGCCTCCCAACGCTCCACCTGCAGCGATCCTGGAGAGATGCCCCCAAGGTGAGATACTTTCATAATAATAATAATAATATATTCAGTTTGTATAGCGCCTTCCAAGGGACCCAAGGCCGCTTCAAATGAAATAAATAGCAGTAGGAGTGGAAGACTGTAGGTGCCATAACGCTACTTAGCCCAAGTTCATTATTTGTATTATTATTATTTGTTTACGTCACTTGTATTGGTTTGTTGAGCACTTCCGGTAATTGTCACATGGGTGTGGTTTGGGTTAGGGTTTGGGTTATATAAGTCACTTGTTTGATGGGTTAGGGTTATATAAATCACCTGTTTGATGGGTTAGGGTTAGGGTTATATAGGTCACCTGTTTGATGTCCAGTGCGGATGACAGAGGGTGAGCCATAGTTACTATGTTATGATTTTGTTTATTAAATATCCTAAAACTATCTTGCTTCAGTATGGACTTTCTCTTCGAAAACGCGTCACAGTTTATAGCCAAGCTTAGCCTCTCGGCGACTCAAACTGAACTGTGGTTTTATCCCTTTAGAGCAAAATACACAGACTCAAATACACAGTGGGCCAAAATAAAGAAATGGGTGCTAGTGGAGGGCCGGACTGGTTCAATGTTTATTAAAGAACTTATTGAAATGAACTTATTGCACATATTAAACCTGGAACTAACAAAGCTTCAATTATTGCCTATTCAACATGAAACATTAAATAATCAGTAGCATTCATTTCTTATGGCTCTATCTCCAGAGTCATTTCTTATGAGTACATTTCTCCACAGGCCAACAACAGCTTCAACAAAACTATTTCCCTCAAAGAACAAACCAAACATGCCCTGTTGTCGTGAGAAAAAAAGTGCAGAAGGAAACATGTGAACTCAGTGTGCTGCTCTGTGATGCTAGCTCAGATACTTGGCATCTCATCTTGGGTGCAAGGTCATCAATGTTTGGGGTCAGGCTCTGAGCTGAGGAGACCCTCAGGATGGAGAGAAGGTGTGCGTGCAATATACCGGCGATAATAGTAATTAAAAATTATCCTGCGGACCGAAAGTAAATCCACCAAGGGCCTGATTTGGCCCCCGGGCCTTGAGTTTGACACCTGTGATGTAGAGGTAGTTTTATAAAGGTCTATTTGGGTCATTGTTGGTAAAAAAGGTTTTAGACACAGAGCTGATGAGGGGGGGATATTCCAGGATACATTTTGCACACATTTTAAGAAACCCCCCCTCTTATCATCTCTGATATCAGAGTGGTTGATTTAGAAATAAAAAAACATTTATTGAAATATTGTCTCATATTATAAAAACAAAGAATCTCAGAATTTCAGATTTAAATTACATTTTTACCAGAAAATAATCAATGAGACATTTTATAAAATAGTTTCTGGTTTGTAAAGAAACATATTGTTTTAAAATCCGTTTTTCTTTGTTGTAATTTTGAGTTTTTGATAAATGTTTGTAGCTTTATACATTTCTGTGTTTCCTGTGAGTTTCCTCTCCATGCAAACAGAAAAACCCTCTGATATTCTCTGATATCAGAGGGGTTGATTTAGAAATAAAAACACATTTAAGGATGTTCTCTTATTATAAAAACCAAAAACCTAATAATTTCAGATTTTCCATAAAAAAATCACTCAGAAAAAAATCACAAATACATTAGTTTGGTGCTTTATACAAAAGATGTGTGTGATATCTGAGTGTCCTCTCCTCTCCCTCAGATCATCAGATGTTGACCCCCCCCTCCTCACCTCTTCTCTGGGGGGGGAGATGCTCCTCTCCCCCCTCCTCTCCTCCACCCCGCACAGAGGGGTCAGGAAGAGACGCCGGATCGCTGCCAATCCTGGAGGGTTACACTGGACCCCTACAGGTAACACACACACACACACACACACACACACACACACACACACACACACACACACACACACACACACACACACACCACACACACACACACACACACACACACACACACACACACACACACACACACACACACACACACACACATGATGCATGAAACGATGGATCTGCTTTGAGCTCAGTGAAGTTCATACCAATACATAATCAAATGCTGTCCCTCATGGAGGACTCTTCTTCTTCTCTGACTTCCTGTTTATTTCTCGGGGCTTCACTTCCTGTTGTTAGCTCCACCCGGCAGGAGAATGATAACGAGCTTCCTGTCTTCAGATCTCAATCTGATGTTCGGAAATATCTCGAGGTCTGAGGAGGGAAGGGTCCTGTACTGTAGGTCAGGGGGGAAACAGGCACATCATGGAAAACACAAGATGGATGTGTGAGCTTTCCAGCAATAACTACATTTGACAAGTTCATTTGATTACATCGTGATATCTGTTTGCTTCACCAACAAAGAGACACAAGATGCTAACTAACCAGAAAAGAGACTCACTACAACAAACAACAAGACCCGATGTAACCAAAGAGGCAAAGAAAGACCCACCATAACCAAATTAAGTAACAACATAACTAATAACTAAATAATCATAATTAAAAACAGACATGAAATGACCAAAGAAATATGCAAAAGAGAGTCGAATCAATCCTCAAGGAGACAGTCTGAAACATGCGTTCATCTACAGCAGGGCTTCTCAAACTCCGGACCGAACTGCAAATCAATCCGGACCGAACTCTGTGTCCATTATACAAAAAATAAAAATTATACAAAATTTAAAAAATTAAAACTTTCAGATTCTGATGTAAATTAATGTATATTTTCTTGTGTCTGACGCGTTGTGAGAATGACCGTGCATATATATGTACTTGTGTGCGCGAGCGTGAGTGACACGCATTGCAGACCGCAAGTTAACCGCAAGTTTACCTTGACTTTCTAATGCCTTGTTTGCCGAGGTTCAAGGCGTTGGCTTCAGACAAACAGTGACATTTCTCCCACTAGTTCAAGCCACGTATGTATGTTTTGAATATGTGTGTGTATACGCCGTTTGCCGACAGGCGAGGCAGGCAAGTGCTCGGACCAGAAGGGGGCCCCCAAAGAAGGTAGATTAAGAAGGTCCACAGCAACGACAACATGAAACACCCTTTAATTTACTGCAACGACATGTCGGGAAACCCCCTCAAGGGGGCCCCATGCATAGCGCGCCAAGAAACTGCTTCTTAATTTCAGTTTCGTTTCCGCTCCGGCGGGGGGGGGGCTTTACTGGCATTGATCCGGACCAGTGACCTTGTATAAAATTCACAGGTGGACCTTTAATAAAACAGTTTGAGTACCCCTGCTCTACAAGGTGATGAAACTCTCATCTCCATGCATTCATTGATGGTCAGTCTGGATGTTATTCTGTCTCTCCTCCACCAGGGGGAGCCAGGACTCCAGAATACACCTCGTGATTTCCTAATAGAGACATTTATTTATATATAATATAATATATAGAATTATGCCATTAATTGATTTCATCTACCAAGTGACAGACTAAGTAGAGGGACGCTTTAATAATAATAGTAGTAGATATTTGCCTTTCAGCTCTGCAGACATTGTTACATTTGTTCCTGTGCACTTGCAGGAAGCTTTAGAAAATGCAGTGTACACACACACACACACACACACACACACACACACACACACACACACACACACCACTTCAGTGCTTGTCTCTGCTGTCACACGCAGCGCTCTCTCTTTATGAAGCGGTAGCTGTCAGTCACACGGAGGTCAGGATGGACGTGAGGAGATTCTGATGTAACACAATAAAAGCCTGATGTTCTTCCCTGCAGACTGAAAGGCTGTTATTAACACAGGAAGTGAAACTAACACACACACACAGTAATGATAATGCTTTTATCTGACATGTCCTTTACTGATATTCAGTCTGAGAGGCTTTTCAGAGACCACGTAAATCACTGCTTTTCATATCTTTTATCTTCACTCAGCGTCACGTCTGCAGACTTCAGACCTCTCTGAACTTATAACCAATCACTGTTCCACAAGTACATGAGTGTTTCTATCTCAAACATAGCTTTCTGTAAGTGTTTAGGTCTTTTATCCACAAATAAACGGGGTTTTAGGAATAAGAAAGTGGAGCTTTTTGGCGTGAGGTGATTCAGATCCTTCAAAATTAAAAGTCCCTTTCAGTCTGAACACACACATGATGCGTCCTCTGTCTCATCGCTCTGAACCTCCTCATGAAGCTTTAATGATGGGCAGCCTGACACCTGACACACACACACACACACACACACACACACACACACACACACACACACACACACACACACACACACACACACACACACACACACACATACACACACACACACACACACACACACACACACACACACATACACACACACACACACACACACACACATACACACACACACACACACACACACACACACACACACACCCTATGAGCAGATCTTCAATCATATATTTAAATATATATGTGTAAATATAATAACTAACAATAACAAAAAGTGAAATTAAAACCCATTTAATAATATTAAAAAAATAGAAATACATAACATATGTGATTATCAATCATATATAGTTCTCTAACATATAACATGTTTTAGTACATTTTTAGAAATCATGATTTATTTAAATGTTTAAATTTAAATCATCAGTTTTAAATACTTTCCATTTCTCTTTGAGGTTTTTCTCTTGCATGATTCTGTTTTGAGTTATAAATAATAAAGTGCTAAACCCTCCTGTCAGTCAGGTGAAGATGGAGGTTAGAAAGTATGAAATATGGAAGAGAGAAAGCGAGTCAGTGAACGCATCGCGAGTCAGTGAACGCATCGCGAGTCAGTGAACGCATCGCGAGTCAGTGAACGCATCGCGAGTCAGTGAACGCATCGCGGTTCGAGGGGCTTTTAAAACGTCAACATTTCAAAGTTAAATTTAAACGTTTCTGAAGTTCCTTCTGTTGGTCTCATGTTTCCAGTCATTCAGAGGGTGTGTGTGTGTGTGTGTGTGTGTGTGTGTGTGTGTGTGTGTGTGTGTGTGTGTGTGTGTGTGTGTGTGTGTGTGTGTGTGTGTGTGTGTGTGTGTGTGTGTGTGTGTGTGTGTGTGTGT